TTATTTAAAATTTATAATATTAAATATATTTATTTATTTTATAATATATAAAAATTATATAAAAAATAATATAAAAAATTTGTGCTTATATCGTTGTTTAAAATAAAATTCTTAAAATTGAAAAATATTCAGAAAAATGTTGACCATTATGGTGAGGGCCCACGGAATGTGGAGCCGTCCTCCCCTTCTAAAATTGGCGGAAAAAATATAAAAAGAATTGCGACACTCACACTCTCAAAACACACATCGCCGGAGAAACCCCGACAAATGGCGGTGGAGGCGTCGCTGCAGCGAGATACGGAGTCTCAAATTCAAAACGCCATCCGCTCTCGGCTCGCCCACTTCAAGAAACAAGCCAAGTACTGCCTCTCTCCCCCTCTCTCTATGTGTATAGGTATAGTATTTTTTATTGTGTGTACACAGGGAACTGGGAGTGGGTATTCGAACAGATGCACCTCCATGGCTTTGCCTTGTGTTATGTAACTTATGTTCCAAGTCGTTTTGTTTCCCCTGACAACAACCATTAATTTTGAATATGAAGCTTGAGCTGATTCTAAAACAGATGGGTATTAGGGATTTCAGCTGTTAATTTTAAGGGGTTTTGCTTAATGTTTGAAATATTTTGAATATGAAGTGCATTGTCTAGTTTAGTTTAACTTGAAATAATGAGAAATTGAGGGCCATTGGACAATAGTTAGTTAACATGGTTTTCTTTTCGTAATTGTTGCAGTTCTATGACATTTGAGAGTGTGCTGAGGTTGTTAGAGAATGACTTGGGGTTGAAGACTTTTGCATTGGATGTGCATAAGGGCTTCATCAAGCAGCAATTACTTGTAGGTACCTGTGTTTCAATTTAAAGATGCTGTTTTGAGTGTTGTATACAACTATAATTGTTCTGCTTTTCTTGTGCTTAAAATTATGGTTTTTGTTTTGAAGCTGCTTAGTGTAGTTAATGTTTTCTGTTAGAAATAGAAAATACCTATGGTCATAATGACATGGATGGAAAGGCAACAGGTAACATGAAATTTTAAGAAACTAATTACTTGATATTCTCATCACTGGTGCTCCAGCTAGAATTACCTAATCTAGAGCACTTTCTCAACGCCCTTTTTAATAAAAGAACTTTATTAAAATTAGTTAAGTATTAATTAATAATTAATTAATTGATGTTTAAGGTTTAAAATATTTTATTAATAATTTGAATGTGGGGCCCACTGTTACTTTAAAAAAGTTTTTAATTGAATTTAACCACCATTTGTTTGAGATCAACAGCACTTCCAACAACATCTGTTACTACAACTATTGTTGTGTGCTATTTTTAGAAGTTGTACTATCATGGACAAAAATGATCTTCCAATATCTTCACAAATATTTGGGGCAGATGTTGACAATAATCTACTTTATTCTGGACAGGATATCTTGAGGCAAGATATAGAGTTCCAAATTATAAATGTCGTGCGCTCTCAGGCCACCCGTTTCTATGAACAGGCCAAGTATTGCTTCTGTGTGTGTGTGTGTGTGTGTGTGTAAAGTGTGTGTATGTGTGTAAAGTATGTATTTATTAATGTGTATCTGTGTGTGGTGTTATGGCCAAGGCATTTTTGTTTCCCCCAATAACTAATTTTAGTTTTGGATATGAAGTTTGTAAAAGTCCATTGTGAATTCCATCCATTCTGAAACAGTAAAACAGATGGTTTTAAGGAAATTTAGCTGTTGGTTTAAGGGGTTTTACTTAATTTTCAAAACATTTTTAATAAGAAGTGCATTGTCATCCTGTTTAAAGTAGTTTCCATTTTTTCTGGTGTACATATGTGATGTAAATTGTATGTTTCATTGTTCTTGAGGTAAACAGAAAAGGGTGAAATTTTGTTCAGATTTGGACCTATACTTTAGTTTAAGTTGTTTAACGACAAATTAAGGACAAAAATTTAATTTGACATGGTTCTTCTATCTGCAATTCTTGCAGTTCTTTGACATTTGAGAGTGCTAGGAGATTGTTAGAGAAGGATTTGGGGTTGGAGACTTTTGCATTAGACATACATAAGAGGTTCATCAAGCAACAATTACTAAAGGTACCCCCTTGCTTTGATGAAAAATGGTAAATTTGATTTTAATGCCTAAACAGCATTTGTGTATTTTCAGGTGGTCATTTTTGCTATGACCTGAAATGATTAAAAAGACTGCGGATATTGTGGGTTTTTTTGGGGTCTGGTGGCGCCTTGAGATGAGAGTGCAGCAATTTGTTTTGTTGCTTTTCTTTGATGGCTATCAAATTGTATTTAGAAATTCTCAGGGGTGGGGAGAGGATAAGGTAGTGAAACCGAATGGTTTGTTTTGCTGATCAACAAATTCATGTTAATATATTATAACTTTTTTTCTATACTTTTTTAGTTGGGGTGAGGGGGTTGTTAAGTGGTTAAGTTCAACGCAGCCTCTCTGTGGGCATGTATATCTTTGGGAAATGATGTGGGAGGCCATGTTGGGAGTGGGAATTAGAACCTTGGACCTTTTCTTCTTTGGATGACAACTGCCTATCTGATGCTTGAGTTAATGACTTCAATTGCCATCTGTCCCACTCAAAAGAATTTATAAGATTTATTTATTTATTGGATTATTTCATTCAATGTAGGTGCCTTTATGTATAATGGTGTTGGTCTTATCAGGATTTATTTCCTCATCACATTTTCTTTTGATATGATCAATACTTATGCTCTAACTTTTACGGTAGTGCTTAGAAGGTTCCTCCAAGAATTCTGGTGAAATAGTGGAAACGAATGCAAGTACAACTGCAGAAGCAGCAGAATCACAGGACGAATGTCAATCAAAGAAAGAAGTGATGGAATCTTGCTCTGAAGACAAAGAGAAAATTAAAGACTCTTGTGAAGAAATTAAAGATGTTTCTGAGAACGAAATAAAGGAAGTTATCAGAAAAAGAGCCTCTTATATGGTAGCTAATTTAGAGTATGATCCTAAAATTATTTTACTATTAGTTACAGTAAAATTGCTTGCACATTTATTGCCACTTTTTCCTCATGCTTTTGTTTGGTTTTTACCTTGAGTAATTTCCTTATGTTCATTTTTTAGTTTCTAAGGTGATGAAAACAAGTACTTATTGCATGCTTTATTTAATTATTTCAGTAAAGTTACAGTGGCTGGTGTTTTTCGGCTTTTGGAGGAAGATATGAATCTTGATAAATATACTCTTGACACATATAAGAAGTTCATTTCCAAACAGTTAGCTGAGGTTAGATAATTTGTTTACAAGCATCATGGTAGCCTCTGAAAGTACTGCATCCATCACGGCTTTGTTGTGATTATGTTTGCCATTGTTGTTTGTTGTTTTACTTTTTCCAGGTGTTAAAATCTCATGAAGTTTCTGATCCTGCAAGTGAGGTGAAGAAGAAACTTAAGAAAGATTTTCAGAGCACAGCATCTAGAAATTCCTGCATCAAAGAGAGTACCAATTCATCGGAAAGTGAGAACGGTAAGGAAGATGAGGACAGGAAGGAAGAGGAGGAAGAAGAAGAGAGATTTGAAAGTGAAGTTGTTCCAAAAGGTATGTATAAGAACTCTGTAAGGCTTAAAAAACGGGAAAGACCTCAAAAGGAGACCAAGGCTCCAAGTAAGAAGAGAATTAAGGCTGCTGAAAAAGTTTCAGAATATGGTAGTGATGCAGAAGAAGAAATCGGGGTTGTTTCTGAAGGTGGTCGGTTTCAGTCATCTGCTGCAAAAGCAGTGAAGGTCTCTCTGTCTCAATTTCAAAAGTCAGCCAAAATCTACATGTGTTATATAATCTATTATTGAAACGCAGAGGAAGCAAGCTTCAAATCTGGAATATGAAATAGTGTCATATTTTCCATTATTCTGCCAATGATGTTTTACATGTGGTTTATGCAGGACTTTGTTGATTCTGGTTTCACGATGCGGTCCTTGCATGAGAATGGTAGTCACAGTAATTGTCTGTGGCAGATTGATGAGCTGAGGAAGGAGTGTGAGCGCCTGAGATTAGAGAATCAGAACCTCGCTAGTGAGAATAGGCAAGTGATGGAAGAGCGGCATGATATTTCCACCTTCATGAAGCTGAAGAACGAGGAACTGACCAGAGCTATGGAGTTGGTGGAGAAGGCAAAGAGGGAGGCTGAGAAAGCCAAAGAAGAGGCAGCTAAAGAGCGGCATGAGATGTCCACCTTCATAAACCTGAAAAAGAAGAATGAGGAAATGGCCAGGGCTAAGGAGCTTGCCGAGAATGCAAAGGAGGAGGCTGAGAAAGCCAAGGAAGAGGTGGAGAGAGAGCGGCATGAGATGTCTGCCTTCATGAAGTTGGAGAATGAGGAACTGACCAGGGTTAAGGAGTTCGTAGAAAAAGCAAAGAGGGAGGCTGAGAAAGCCAAGGAAGCCCAGAATGTGGCGGAGAAGAGTGCCACTCGCTTTAAGTCCAAGTTGGATGACATGCAGCAGCATGTAGCTGATCTCCAAAGACAGCTGGATGAGGCACGAGCATCAGCTTCTCGGGCAATAGATGAGTTCAGGGCCTCTAAGGCCTGCCAGGAACTCCTAGTGGATCTCGCTGGTATGTGCTTACTCATCTTGCCACAATTCTGTTATTTATTTATTAAAAGTGTTAAACTTTAATCCCTTTTAGGTCCTTACATGGATGGTGGGTTCGATAATTTCCGAATGCAAGCCATCCGTGACTTCCCCAAGCTGAAACAGATATTTGAAGCGTACGAGCTTGATATTGACATGGTAATTGCAAGCCTGACAACAAGTGGTGGGTAGAGCATCAGACTTTAGTTGCTGTTAGCCTGTTAGGGTACTGGTTGTGTACAGGACACATGTATTAGGAGAGACTAACCAGGATACTCGAGGTAGGTTGAGCCTGGAAGATGCAAGCCTTCTTCTGTTGAGGCCATCCATCATCTATCAACGTTGATGCTCAATTATATATTGTTGTAAGGATTTATCTAAAAGACTAGTCTTTCTTTGTTCGTGGATTCTGTATGACTTTTGTTTCATAGATAAAAATTTACTTTTTGTTCAAAAATTAAGTCACGGATTATCATGTAAAAAATAGAGTATAGCCAAATTTCCAAAGTATAGGGACCAATTTTAATTGTAAGGTATCTTTAATCTTTGGCAAAACTTAGAAGCAGGTGTTTTTTATAAGCTTTTTTTATCTAAAGTGTTACGAAAAGTGGTATGCAATGGTGACACGTTACCCCATGGCCTATTGCCTAGCACTATCTAGCCATGACTGTGTTTTTCAATTTTTTTTTTAAAATCAGATAATTAGAAAAAATAAGCCTCAGTTATATTGAGTTGTAATTATAGTTGTAAATTTTTTTAGTTTTTTAACATCTTAAAAATATATAAATACATTTTATATTTATTTTAATTAATATTTTATGTATTTTTAAAATAATAAAAAACGTAAAAATTAAAAATTAACAAACAAAGTCAAAGTTGATTAAAGAAATTTAAAAGTAACAGCTCAAAGGCATTTTAGGCAAAGTCAAACAGTGCCTAATACTAAAGTTAGGCGGAGGGTTATGATTAGAGTCTAAACACGTTTTTAACCACATTTTAGATGAAACTAAAAAATTAAGTTTGATAACTAATAGCTAAACAAGAGAAAAACTTATAAGTTTAGTTAGGTTAAAGTGACTTTTTACAACACTAATTCCCTCTAGAATTTTAAAATTGGTGTTAATTATTTAAATAATTCAGTGATAATTTTTTTTAATTAAAAGTAAGAGATTCTAAATTCAAATCGTATGACATACAAATTGGTAGAATAAAAGATGGTGTAAACAACATAAAAAAGTTTATGATAATCCCAAGAACCATCTTGATCAATTTTACGAATTTTAAGGGCTTAACTTATGATTAAACCTATATCCAATCACCGTCAACTCAGAAAGCCAAACATGTTATATTATCCTGCACCAGGTGACACCCTAACAAACTCTCATTCTCCCCGAAAGTCCGAAACACACTCACTCACTCACTCACTCACTCATTCTTCCTACCAAACACAACTCACCGGAGAAATCCCGACCAATGACGGAGGATGCGCACGATTCCGACGCCATCAACAAAACTGGGAAGGAAGCGTCGCTTCCGGAAGATATTGAGTCCCAAGTTAAAACCGTCATGCGCTCTCGGGTCGCCTACTTCAAGGAACAAGCAAAGTAATGCTCGCCCTTTCCCACCCCTTTCTCTCTCACTCTGTATATATATGTATTCGTATACGCTTGAGGCTGTATTTTTCTATGTTAATCTGTGTGTTGTGTTTATATGTCGAGTTGTTTTTGATTTCCTAAGAATTACTTGCTGATTTTGAATATGAAGTCTGTGAAATTTGAATATCGAGCGAATTTTAGAAGACTAGGGTTTTAGGGATTTTAGCTGGTAGTTTAATGGGTTTCACTTAATTTTTGATATATTTGGAGTAGGGAGTGCGTTATCATTTCATTTAAATTGGGTGTTCTGTATTTTATGCATTCACTTTGGAATAAAAAGTTATATCTAACTCAGTTTTGGAGCCTATGAATTACTTTTTAAGTGGTTTAACATAAGTTTATGAGAAATTGAGGAGAGCTTTTTTTTTTTTTTTTTTCCCTGTAATTGTTGCAGTTCTTTGACATTTGAAGGTGTTCGGAGGTTGTTAGAGAAGGACTTGGGGTTGGAGACTTTGGCATTGGATGTGCATAAGAGGTTTATCAAGCAATGCCTGCTAGAGGTACCCGTTTCTTGATATACTTCTTTACATGTAATATGACTAGGCTACATCATGCTTTGACTTTGAGCCACAGAGTTCTGTGATGGTTTTGCTCTTCTTGTGCTTGAAATGTAGTTAATTTTTTGTGCTAGAAATATCTAAGTAAGGTCATGTTGGAAAGGCTACCATACTTATCATAGAAATCATATGAGTACCTTTTAGCAAACAGTATCATTGTCTATTCTGGATGGGACATTTTGTAGCTCCATATTTGTTATTTTATGAGACTTAAAGATGCTTTGCAGCTCAGGTTAATGTCTTAATTTTCCATCTAAGATTTAAAGGCTTAAATATTTGTCATTCTCAAGGGAAATTATAAATTTTTTGTTTTA